ATTCAAACACTTGTCTCAAATGTGTCTTATGAATCTCTGGACTGCTACTATATACCAGGATATCATCAAAGAATACCAGTACAAATTTACATAGATATTCTTTGAATACACAATTCCTAAGTCTAAAAAGTAGCAGGTGCATTTGTCAGCCCAAATGGCATAGGGATAACTTGACTTTGCACCCCATATTATTGTCGAAATTGGACTTTGCACCCTGTTTTTACAAACCTTTGTTTTTGCACCCCAACCCTGTATGAAAAGACAAAAATGGACCTCGATCATGAATATGTTGAAGGCCAAAATAATTGTTAATGGAGGGGCATTTTTGTCTTTTCATACAGGGTTGGGGTGCAAAAACAAAAGTTTTTAAGAATGAGGTGCAAAGTCCAATTTTGACAATAATATGGGGTGCAAACTCAAATTACCCCAATGGCATAACAGTAAATTCATACAACCCACTAGCAGTGATGAAGGTTGTTTTTTCAATATCTTCTGGCCTCATTCTCTCTTAACGATACCCCGCTCTCAGATCTATCTTAGAGAATATAGTAGCTCCATTCAGCCCATCTAATAAATCATCTATAAGAGGAATATGGTAGTTATTCTTTATAGTGATTGAATTGAGCTTTCTGTAATCCACACAGAACCTCTAAGACCCATCTTTTTTCTTAACCAATATAATTGGGCTAGAATATGGGCTTTGGCTGTGTTGAATAATCCCAGAGGCTAACATCTCCTTGACTAGCTTCTCTATTTCCGGCCTCTGTATATAGGGGCACCTGTAAGGAATTTGCCTAAATGGTTTTTCTCCCATTTTTATGTCAATGTGGTGTTCATGTTACCTGGTTGGGGGTAAACCTTTAGGCTCTTGAAACACCTCTTCAAATTCCTTACTTAGGTCTTCCAAATCCTCTGGCATAGCTGGTTTTTCTTCCTCTTCTTCTACAATAGAAATTGCCATACATAAAAACTTGGACATCACCCCATTCTTCTTTCTCAGTAACTTGTCCATCTTCTTTCCATTCATCATTCTTACTGACACTTCTTGCTGTATTCCCTGAACAATGATCCTCTTTCCTTTATGATCCAATGAAATAGAATTGTAGTCATAATCTAGCATGATAGGCCCCAACTTCTTCATCAAATCAACCCCCATTACCATATCATATCCTCCCAATGGTAGCACTCTCACACTTGCTGCGAAATTGTGACTAGCCATTTCCCATTCTAAGTTTGGACATTTAGAATTGCATTCAATCTTGCCTCCTGCTACCATAACCTGTAATGGGTAGGTTATCTCCAACTCACACTTGATTCTTTTAGCCGTTGATGGATCTACGAAGTTGTGAGTACTGCCAGAATCTACTAAGATGGTTATGTTGTTATTCTTCACTCTTCCTGCTAGCTTTATGGTTTCAGTAGGTACATGCCCTTTTAAAGCATGCAATGATACCCCAAAACTCATCTCATTATCACCGTCTTGGTTCAATATCAGCTCATTATCCTCTTTCTCCTCTTCAGTCAGAATAATAACAAAGAGTTTCCTGCATTTATGCCCCACAGTATAAACTTCAATGCTTCATCAAGTTGAAGCATAACCCCTTCTTTCTTCCGGCTTCCAACTCATCCTTATTCAACCTTCTGATTGGTAAGGATTTATCCCCATTTACAACTCCTTTGATTTCAACATTGTTTTTAGGCCAATTATTCCCTTTTTGCATGGACTTGCATGTTCTTCCCACTACTTCCAGAAGTGCCTCTTGTTTTTTGGCTATCAAGAAAGCTTGTTCCAAAGTTTCAGGAGCTACAATCTCTACCATGTGTCTGATCTCACTCTTTAAGCCACTAAGAAAGCTTTTCAGAAAGTAATATTCATCCAAATGTTTGTTTCTGTGAAGCATGAAAGATTTCAATTCAGAGAATTTATCTATATAGTCATCAACTGCATTTTTCTGCCTCAGTTTGTTGAAAATCACCAATCATATCATTCTCTTTTGAAGATCTATCTAAGAACAATTCCACAAATGCTTCCCATCCCATAGACTCTTTGCCCATTATCCGGTCCATATACCAGTTTTCCACATTTCTAATCACATAGATTCCAATCAATACGATTTTCTCATAATCAAACTTGCTATGGATTAGAAAATACCTCTCACACTTTCTGATCCAACCTCTAGCATTTCACCATTAAATTGAGGAAATTCGAGTTTGATTCCACGTTGGTGACCTGGAGTAGCAATCAATCCTGAATCTGGTCTTCGAGGAGTATGTTCTTGGTGAATGTTACCATTGATTCCTTTAACTGCAGCGATGACTTTCTCGAATCGTCTTTCACTTAATTCCGCAAGCTTCGCGAAATCAGTTCCTTGCACCTCATTGAGTTTTTCAATTTCCGGTCGTATGTTGATTAAATCTACTTCCAATTGAGTAATACGATATGTGTTACTCATTTTTGCCATGGATGATAAGCTAGCTCTGATACGAAATTGTTATGAATGGAGAAAGGAAGAAGAGAACATTCATAACAAGCAAGAACAGTTTGCAGAAGAATATGAGGGAATGAATGAGAGAGAGAAAAGATCAGTATTATTCAGCTTATTCCCCTTCGTACAGTTACTGCTCATTTATATACGCCTAACGACTAACTACCCAGCCGTTAAGTGAATGACATAGCTCACCCGTGCGATGCACAGGCAAACAAATTACATACAAATTACTCAAGGAAAAAACAATATAACAAAATCTTTTTTATTACAATTAAAGCAGAAATACTAATAGGATTACGTGTAAACAATTTTTAACAATAAATTCCAACATGAGCTTTACAATTTTTGAAAAATTTCTTTATAGATAATGTTATTTGTCTTCGTTATTCTTTATATATTAAATTCATTCAGATCAAATTTTTAGTCTCATAAATTTTCAATAATGATGACAACCCAAAACATGAGTTACCCTATTAAACAAAACCATCTACCCAAAAATCACACGCCTAACAATAATTTACATCTTCTCAACTCTTTAAATTTGATTTTGGATGCTCTTCACAGAAACATACAAAATTTCCCTTAGAGGCTTAGAGAGAACTAATTTATTGATGTTTTGCAATTCTTCCATGATTGCAATAGGTTCTATCCATCTATCAAAATCAAGACCATCTCATTTTCACAAAAATTAATCTAGAATAAGGTGTAGCCCAACATTATTCACCCCACAACAAAAATCCTGACCAGATCCCCTAATAAGCCTTTAACGACATTGTGTATAAGCCTTGAACGTAAATGTGACACCGCACCCGAACGTCCTTGAAAATTCAAGGTTTATGTATTGAATTCCAAATTTCCAAACAATTGTAAAACTATTAATGTTTTACGTAGTGCATGATTGATTATTGTACTGTTCGAACTCGTATATTAGTGTCGGGCTTGCGAATACTTATTTGGGCCTTTAATGAATATAAGAGCCTAACATTTTCTAAATAATGATACATAACCTTTCAAGACAGGTTGAGGAAGGTTGGGCAGCCCGAACATTATTTTGGGCCCAACCTGCTAAAAATAGTAAGTATTCAAGAATGGCGTCCTAGGCCCACTCGAGGGTGACCCACATGGCTTGTAGCCCAACATTGTGCATAATAATGTCATAAATAAGTGTTAAGATGATTAGGGAAGATTACAAATGCCTATGGTCCCATCTTTGACATTATTGAGCTAAATAATGGGAATAAGTTTTCTTCTATAATTTTCATCACATGAATTCTTGGGATGATCCTACACATATTGGAGATCCATAATATGATGTAGAGGGTTGAATTGTTCTAAATAAATTAGAATGAGTACAAAAGACATCTTTTGACAAAAGATAAAACAATATGACCCATCTTTACATTTTTGGAGGTATTAGTAGATATTTTGGACCCCAAATTGATTGGGATCAATTGAGAACCACTCCACATGACCTTAGTACCTGCAAAACAAAGAATAATGGGTTATACAAATATGTGGGGCGGACTTTTGACTTAAGAGCTACAACATTACAAAAAGGAAATAAAAGAGGAGGTCCACCCCATGTTTGAGTGCAATCAAACATCCTACCTTTCTTTTTTGAGAACCACATGATCTCTTAGCATGATTGAGGTCTCCTATACACTCCCCCCAACACCCAATTCGAACCATTTGAGATAATAGAGAAGAGAGAGCCACACACTTCAAGAGAGAGGTGAAGAAAGAAGCTGGCCGCAAGTTCGTTTTCCAGCAGATAGGGTTGCTTGTTTGATCCATAACTTGAGCTTCACTCGTCCAAATAAGTCGTATGAGATACCAAAAGAAAGCTCTCAAGACTCGGAATCCGTGAAGGTTTGGTTAGCATCAATCGGAGTAGTGGAAGGCTTCCAAATCGTCCGAGCAAAACACAACCTCGCAGAAACGGATTTACTCTCATAAAGTGAGTTTTAACCCCAAAACCTTTTTTTTTCATTTTCCAAATGATATGAACGATTGGTGGAACTATTATACACTATTCCAAGTGTATAATATGTCCTTATAAGGTTATTTTATTGATGCAAAGGTTAGATACTAACCTAGAGCAAATCTTGGAAAAACTAGGAAACGAGCTAGCCGGAAAACACCCATTCTAGGGGCTGTTTTCGTATCAACGATTAGGGGTTGAGCTAGCACCTTGAGAAGGCTGTTTAACACTCATTTTTAAGCAAGGAATCAGTTCTCAAAATTCCTTGGCCGAGGCTTTGGTCATTGGATCGAGAAGGAAAGTTTTAAAGCTCATTTGAGGTGAGGATCGACATATAGTTGCTTACAACTTGTAGGTTGAGCATGAGATTACCTAAATGCCTAAATCATAATTTTTAATAGATTATGATGATTAAATATTGATGAAATATTGATATAGTTTCCAAAGAATGAAATTGGAAATGAATTGAGGTTGTATGAATAATATGAGATTTTTTTTTTAGATAGTGAGTAGTATAAAATACGGAGTAGCATCCGAACTGTACACGTCTGCTGACGTTTACACTGAAGTTGATTCATGTGTAGGGTAGGGTATACGTACATAGTATAAGGAGTGTATATTATACAAAAGCAGAAAATACAACATAGAGAATTATATAAACCATGTTTCCCTGAAACGTTTTTACATCCTATACCAAAGCTATTATAGGCCATGGAATAACTGCAGCTGCCGGCAACTGTGATCGGATCACAGGGACCCGCTTCACCATGGAAAATGCTTCACTAAGACGTGTGGTACCGCTCATGAACTGAGACACCTTCTTGTCATCCACTGTGATATTCAGCTCCAAGTTCTTGACTTTCTTCTTCTTCTTCTTATTCACCATCATCTTATACATCAACCTTTGGCCCAAAAAAGCAAGGCCTAAAGCAGCAGCCGCAGCCACCGAGAAGTTCCAGATAGGACTAGATCTGAACACAACACCATACTTGAGAAAATCAAAAGGTACCTTCCACCACACCACACTTCTACTCCTCTTTACTTCATCTGGCTTCTTCCACGCACTTTCCACAGCTTCAGATTCGTTCTTTTGTCCCGCAGCTTCCAAATCTGCATCTCCTTCAATTCCGGGGGACTCTTCAAACTGCTCAATCTTCAATCCATCACCAGAATCGTTCTTCCCGCACCCACATCTTATCTCCTGGATCCCATCAAAACCCTCTCGAACCGTCACTGCCCGATCCTCCGACCCGTCACTGCCCGAGTCGGGCCAAGACTCTCCGGATTCCTCCCTCGGGTATCCGGCCTCCGACCTGGGATCAATCCAACTCGGACTGTCAGAGGCCTCGGAACCCGCCTCGCTCACATTGACATCAGCAACACTGCCCATATAAGGGGTGTTTGGATCTAATTCTCAAAACTGATTCTGCTCCTTCAGGGAGCAGAAGCAGAAGCTGGAGTGTTTGGGTGAAATTACAGAAGCACTTCTGGAGCTCTAATTTACTCTCAGAATCAGTTTTTTTAGAAGCTGAGAGGTACCAGCTTCTGAAAACTGATTCTGATTCTGCTTCTGCTTTTAAAAAAGAAGCAGAAGCAGAATCAGTTCCAAACACCCCCTAACTCTCCCTAGTACCTAAAGAGAAGTAATTGGCATGTACAGTACCTACAGAGTCGGCTCCGATTTCTTCAAAAGCCTTTGGGCTCTCATCAGAATCACCTAAACCCGAATCAGTCGAAATCGGGTCGGGTAAGAGAACTTCCCAGTCCTGGAGCTCCGCGGCCTCAACATCCATGGCGAGTTTACAGAATTTGTTAGCCTTGTTTACGGTTAAGTGAATAATAATAATAATAATAATAATAATTATTGTTATGAGTTATAAATGAACTATTTAGTGAAATAGGCATTTTCCACATGTATCAATTATGTGGATACATAAATGAATATTTATGTATTGAGATTGAATACTTAAGTTGCTGCCACATATTATTAATATGTAGGGGCTCCCATATGTGAATAAATGTTGTGTAAGAATAATCTTAATAGTAATGAGGTACTAGTTAATTAAGGATTGTTCGAATTGTTGATAGAATCAAACCTAGGGTTTGCATATTATTGTGATGAACTTGATGGACTTCAAGTGCCATTTGTGTCTTAATGTGAACTAAGGTTAAGTTGGGGACAGTCCATAGTATGTCCCAAGATAGCTTTATGTATGACAATTCTAGGCATAGTGAGTGCTTAGGAATTGGGGTCTATGCCAATGCAAGGGGATGCACTTGAGCCAAAGCTCTAGAATTGCATTGGGTAGACATAAGATTTAGGTTCAGCCCATGTAAGGAGATGCACTTAAACCCGAGCTCTACAATTGCATGGGTGAACATGATGTCGGAAATTGATGATGTGATATAAGGCTTGGAACCTAGGGGTCAAATCTATGCCAATGTAAGGAGATGCACTTGAGCCCGAGCTCTAGAATTGCATTGCGTAGATATAACGTGGACGCATTAGGGTTGGACCCTATGTATTGTCGTGACTAGTGGTCACGGGGTTTGGGTTATGTTTTGTGATAAACATGGGCCTACGGGCCGACTACTTGACTTTTATATAAAGTAAGTATATTTTCAAACGGGGTAACTTAGAGTTACAATCATAATGTACTATCACCCTATTTGAGGGTCTTGTGTTTGAAATACTTGTTGTATATCTATTAGATGCCATCCACACCAGTGCTTTATAGCCCTATAGAGTACTGACCCCTTCGGGGGCGTCCCACCACCATTTCAGGTTGAGGCTAGAGCTTGCATCCTGTGCTCGTTGATTGAGTGATTCCCTGGAGAGAAGACTTGGTTTGTGCTTCCTCCATTCTGTTTGAAACATTAATAAATTTGCTCATGGATATTTTAATTAGAGCTTGCGTGCTCATGTTTGCCCTATGTGACATTTGATTTCAAACTATGTTTCCGCTGCTTATTGAATTGTTTATTGTGTATGTTTATGGATGACTTACGTGTGAATGATATTCATGACGTCTTGTATAATATGGATGTGGTTGACTATGGTTGACTATTCGTGTTGTACGGCGGGTTGTTGACGTGTCCAGGTAGGTCCGGGGCGTGATAATTTAATTGGTATCAGAGCCTTAGTCCATAAACTTCATAATGAAGTCTCCAAATTCTCTTTTCGAAATGATTTTGAAAACCATGAGCATAAATGTTTTGTACTTGTAGAACTTTTGGTACTTGAGTTGCAAGGTCTCTAATTGTTAAGATGGTACCCTTAGCAATTGATATGGCAGTAATTTGAGCCAAATAGTGTCTTAAGTACCGATCTGTCAATTGACATTTGATACGAGTCTAACGACTCTTTCCAAATTTCTCCCAGAAATGGACCGTGGTGGCAAGGTTACTAGGAGAAACCCGACGGGCCGTGCACTGGTGGAAACTGGGCAGGGCAGTCGTAGGACCTCTAGGGCATCTAGAGGAGCGGGGCGTGGGGGCCGATCGTAGACCGTGAGCGACGGTCATGTGAGCGCTGAGAATGAGAGCTACTGGTCCTACGAGGACTCGACCTATCTACCGGAAACCGAGCCGGTTGGGACCCCTTATGAAGAGGATGATGATGATGTAAGTGATGAAGAGGAGGAAAATGGCTCCTTAGCACGAATTGAAGCACTACTCCAACAGTACCACCGCGAACGGGAGGAGAGGAGGGAACGCCGAAGGCGCCGAGCTAGGCAACCTTCGGGCGAGGCCTCAAGAGGAAGAAGCCATGGCGACTCTAGGGCCCACATTGAACCACATGGGGGCCGAGGTGATGGAGGTCCAATCATAAGGATCTCCAAATACATCAAAGAAGCACGAGACTTGGGTGCAAACCGTTTGACGGAACGGGGGACATCTCGGTTGCCTCACAATGGATCAAGAGGCTGAACGAGGCAGCCCTTGACATGCAACTCACACCCGATTTCAAACTAAGAATTGCAGTGAGACTACTTGAAGGGTTGGCATCCAAGTGGTGGGATGGGACCAAAGGCAAGTATGGTGAAGCCGTCGTTTGGGAAGACTTCTGACGGGAGTTCTTTGCCCAATACTATTCTGAATTCGAGGTAACGCGAAGGTGAGGGAATATACTCTCCTAACCCAAGGCGGTAACATGATGGTGAAACAGCTTGAACAAAAGTTTAGGGATCTTGTCGACCACATACCGGAGTATGCTTGTGATGCGAACCGAATGATGAATCAATTCTGGGATGCCCTCAACTTGGAGATACGTGATAGGGCAACCCAATTGCCTAATATGACCTTCAGTCAAGTGGTTAATCAAGGCCTGAAAGGGGAGAAGCAATGGGAAGAGAGGAAGATGAGAGACGCCGAGGAGGCGAAAAAGAGAAAGTGGGAGAGTCATGGCCCTCAAGGTTCCAAGAAATTAAAAAGAGGGCTTGTTTACTAACAGAGATATTTTCCAGTTTTCCAGAAAAGTGGAAAACTGGAAAACAGAAAACAGGAAACGTGTTTACCAAAGAAATTGCTGGAAAACTGGAGAAAGGGAAAAAGAAAAACGCGTTTACCAAATCGTTTTCCAAAACGAAAAAAATGAGACATGTTTCTCTTTTCCTTAATGATTTGGAGAAGTGACTTTTACTAGTTTTCCAAATTTGGAAAACGCAGATGCTACAATGTCGTTGCAATGAATTTGCATACTTACATATAGTGGTGGTCCGGTCCCGCTCCGATGTCGATTCCATTCCGGTACCTCCATCCTCGTACCTTACCCCTTACCCCTACCCTACCCAGAAGTCACTTTTTAATAAGTAATCATTTAATAAAAATTAAAAAGATAATGAGAACGTGGTGAAGAAATTCAGAACGTGGTACCTTCTTCACCACGTTCTCATTATCTTTTTAATTTTTGTTAAATGATTACTTAATAAAAAGTGACTTTTATCAATTCTGTTTTTAAACTTTATTTCCTTGATACTTTAAAAAAAACTTTATTTCCCTGAAAAATTTAAAGAGTGTACTTGTACTTGTTCAACAGTTGAAGGCAAAATATTTTTTAAACTTTTTCTGAATAGTAACCTTTAATGACATATGGAACTCATTTTCTGCACCAGCGAAATATTTGAACTTTGAAAACATGGTAAAAATCCAAATTCTTAACCTAATACATCATGCTCTATATTTTCATATTTGCCCTTTTTCTTAGAAATAATGAATAATAAATTGAACTAAAATTTGTATTTTTATTTTATTAGCACTCAATGTGATTATCATTTTCATTTGCTAATTTTTTTAATTCTCGAGTGATATTATAATATGAAGGAATAAGGTTTGTCACACTTTAACGAAGGGAGTAGTAGTATGAAATTGGTTAAATCTATTTAAATGGATGAAATTCTGATAGAAGTGGTTGAATTAGTTGAATCTATTGGTTTATGGATAAATTTATTTTAAAATAATTTTATTAATAAAATCAAGGAAAACATTATATGAAAAGTAGCTAAAATGATTACATACAGTAACTTTCTTTATTCAGACAGCAAAATAGATCATAAATTGAATATAGATAATTTTAAGCATAGTTATAGAGATTATATTTTTTTTTAATTTTTTTTTTTAAATTTTTTAAATTTTTTTACTCCAGGGGGGTCTAGGGGAGGAGGTCTGGGGGGAGCCTGGAGTAATCAGGGCTCCCTCTATTGAGTTTCAAACCCTTGTGTGCCTAGCGGGATTCGAACTCGAGACCTCTCATTAGGCACGGTAACCTCGCAACCAGCTAGGCTGAAGTGCTTGGTTGCAAAATTATAGAGATTATTAATAAATTATATTTGTATATATTCAATATTGATCTCAATTTAAAGATCACAAAAAATTATGAATTTTGATATATTTTTTGTAAAAATTGGAACAAAATGAAAAAGTTATAATACTTTAAAAAATTGGTTTTTTTATAGGTTGGGCCCCACCAACTGCAAATTCTACGGCTGTTCCCCTTCCATTTCAATCGGAGAAGTTGGGTATTTTGGAGTGAAAAAGCCACGTGTCATTGGTATATAAAATGAGTGAATTGAGGAGAGTTTGACACATAGGATTCATTAAGGGTAAAATTGTATTTTGAACAGACCTGCGGGTTGTCTATTCTCCACCTTGTCTTGTTGACATACAAGACAAGTCTTCACATAAAGTTCCACAGTATCCCTCATCTGTGGCCAAAAGTATGCGGTCTCGACGAGTGCTAGCGTGCGTCTTTGGCCGGGATGTCCAGCCCACCTCGTGTCATGGCACTCCTTGACGAGATCCCTCCTTAAACTCCCCCATTTTGGGACATAGAGACGACGCCCCTTGGTGTAGAGAAGGCCGTTCTCTTCCCAAAATCGTTGGGTCTTTCCCTCCTTGGCCAACTTCATCAACTCCTTAGCCATGGGATCGTGTTCAAGTCCCTCATTCTAAATGTTAAATTAAATAGAAGTTGTCACTTGAAAACACTTTTTTTAGTTTTTTTAAGTCAAAAACTGGAAAACGCTTTTTTTAGTGTTTGCAAACGACCCTAAGACGAAAACGCTTTTTTTTAGTGTTTGCAAACAAACCCTAAGACGAAGAGAACAACTTCTTAACAAACCCAAAGCCTGATAGAACCTAAAGCAAAAAAATTCAGAGGATTTTAATAAAAATAAGTATATTTATAGCACTACTCCCTCATGAAGGGAGTTTTTTCTTAAAATAATGTCAAACAAAAAAATATTTCCGAAATTAATGTTGGGTTAAAAGTATTTCTCAAAATACTGCATAACTAACCTGAGTTAGAGAACCGCCACTTCAAGTGACGGTGAAGAGAAATAGGTCACGCGCAAACAGAAAGCACGTAATGTGCAATGGCAAAGCAAAAAAAAATAAGGTAATGGTCCCACCCAAAATAAAATCTCTTTTTTCTTTAAAGTGCCACAACTTTTTTATTTTTATTTCGATGGTTACGAAAAATATACCAAAATTCATAACTTTTTATTACCTTTCATATGACATCAATAATGATTATATAAAAATAAAAAAATAATTTAACACGTGAAAAAT